TATATATATGTGGTGTGTGTGTATGTGTATATATATATATATATATATATATATATAATATGTATATAATATATATATATATATTATATATATATATATATATAGATCGATACGACATCGATCCATTTTAGTTAATGGCCACATCTACAAACCGTCCATAATCTCAGAAGGATACCATATGTCTATTTGCTCGCTTAGTAGTGGCAGTATATGGATATCAATCAAGACTCATCTCACCTCCACCCTCACGCTGAGGCTTAAGAACATAATCTAATGAATTGGCGCAGACTTTGTCGATCATTTCTTTATTGCCCTCGACGTGATACAGCCCAGTGAATGAGTCAAGCACTTCGGCCGCTTCCCCGGCTGGCAAAAACCTGGTTTATCATGAAAAAGGGCATTGAACCCTAGTTTATATGTATACAATATACTCGACATAAGAGACGTAAGAGAGCTTGCACAGAACCCTAGTTTATATGTATATAATATACTCGAAATAAGAGACGTAAGAGAGCTTGCACACTATTCATTCAGTTCACAATCTGTATACCTCTATAGATCAATGGAAGTGGATGGTCACGAATTGGCACAGTTTACCTACCTTTCTACCACTTCTTTCTGTGCAAGCACTTGTTGAATTTTCTTGGCACCGGTCAGATGATACTCGACTGTGGGGCATTTGATAGCCAGAGACAATTCTATGGTTTCCCGCGATTTCCAGTGCTGATTGTATATGAAGAGAATTGTAAGCTGTGGATCTGGTAAGCGTACTGACCGGTTGGATGGGTAAGGAGGAGGACTGATTCGATACTTGCAGCACAACGTAATATTTAATGGTCACGCAACTAATAAGTTAACACAGATAAACAAAGCATGCTATTTCACAAATGCTGACACGATTAAATATGACTGAGGTACGAGGGTGTAGAGAATATGCGTACCCTTTATTCTATTCCACATATCATACTCAAATCATCTCAATAAGCATGGATGGAAACCTGATAGAAGGTACAAGTGGCGATATTCGGCACATCATATTAACTCAAAGCAATCATCGCAGATACACACGATACAGGAGACTTGATATTCAACACAGCATACCAGACTGAATCTACTATGGCACTTAAGTACACTTGGGCACGCCCAATATACGCACAAATTGTGATATTTGGCCACACGTAAGCTACACTTAGGGCAGTGGTCCGGAGAGTGCATGGCTTGCAAATGCTTAAAATAAGGTCCAGACATATCACTAAATGAATCATTCAGGACTTTTTTGAAACTCCACGGACAAGGCACGGGTACAGACGATAAGCGGCCACGCATATACTCCCCGAAGGTTGGAATACGGAGAGTGCATGGAAAAATCTCAAGGAAACACATTCTCCTGGACTTATTCGAAATTTTTTCCGTAATCACACGGGTACAAACAATAATAGTACACATTACGATATTTAACCACCTCACCCCCGTGGGGCAGATGGACTAGATATTGACAAGAATCGCTCATTACATAAACGAGACTCAATCTCCATATCGCACGTAAGAACACAGACACAGAATATAATACTAAAAATAATGATTTTAGGGAAACATACGCTCTCTGTAGGGTAGTGGTCTGGAGAGTATCCGGCCCTAAAGTATGCAACCGAAACCTCCTGTCCATCACTGCTCGCGTGTTAGTGCAATGGGAAGTGGTCACAGGAAGTGAGTTAGAACGAGCCGCTACCAAAACTAACTCTAAATTACTTGAGCTAATTCATGGGCACTGAGTCGGTAGGTCTGATAGACTGATTAGTGCATTGTTGTACTTGCACCGACATCGAAACTGTCACACGGGTAGTGAATATGCTCGACGGGCCCCGCTGATGAAATAAACAGATATACAAACCTACTTGATCGCGCGCATATACGTACGCTCGCTATCGCCACTCGTAGAGTCTTAAGTTATACTTACATATACAAACGCTTGAGCACTAGACGGCTGAAAGTATCATGCAGACGAAACACTTTAACTAGCTGCAGGGTACAACTGTAAAAAAAAGCCAAATGAAACCAACTGTAGACAACAAATGCGTAAATATGCATTTCTATAGTGGTTGTAGCCTGCAGGAAACCCAGCATTGATAATATAATACTGTCAGCAGCTTACGCACAGTGAGTGGCTTCTCAAAGCTGAATGGTATTTACCCTTAACTTGCAAACGCTTAATAAGATACTGTAAAGTCTAAATTTGGTGTCTACTCACAAGCACAAACACATTTGACGCGCATCTCAGATGGCAAAATAGACTAGCCCAACTAAATCTCCTGACGTGTTAGGGCGTCGAGCTTTGCATCTATGGATCGAACAGAGGGACTACACTACACAGCTCATTGGAGGCTGTGGCTAAATGGTGCTGAGTGCGAAGCAGTCAAACAGTGTGGTCACGTATCATCTCATACTAGGCATTGGTAGGGCACAAGAGAGGCTGCTGACGCTGCTTGAGTGATTTGCGGTCAGGAGTGTGTACTGCTAATGGTACATTTGCATAAGCACGAATACACGCACGAATCTATACACTGTGCGCAAGTGTGCTTGTGCTATGTACAGTATCTGCATTATACACCAGATAGGCGATGTACATACATGGTAAGAACCTTTGTTTGCGGGTCTAGGTTTCCCCTCTCAGAAATATCCTGTAAGGAATAGAATGAAAGCCCAATTCAGACACTGATCAGTGCTGCTAAATATCTGACGACATCTATGCAAATTACTGGCGGTCGAGCGGTCCCGGGTGAAGCTCAGCCGCAACCTGAATACAGTCATACAGCTTGACTTCACCTTATAATAGTCTCAAGGGAGCAGTGAGCAAAATTTCAATCATTTCAAGAAAGTGAAGATAAACAGAGCTACAACATGGAATACTGGTATAGGCATTGGAACTATGTCAGCGACTTATCCGTTCTGCTATGCTCCACCCGCAACTCGACATCATTCACATCTGCATGCATGTTTATGCACATACATACATACTTGAAGACTCCTCCTTATCATCTTCACCTTATGGTCTTGCCATAAACTGTGTTCGATGAACTTCTGGTCGAACGAGTTGTGCTCGTTTGGTAGTACCACCATCATCATCACCGCACTGAAGAGAAAGTATATCAAGTTTAGATTATTTTGACATATGAGCGATACAGAGACGTTTATGTGGGCACAGCATCCTTACACATGCAGACAGCCTATTTATACAAAAATTAGGTAGGTAACTAACCCCCATATGTTTACCCACTCAGAAATGTGTATGGACATGGATTGTAGTAAAACATGTATCACGCCAGCATGAACTGTCGCTTCCATAGCATTTCAAATAAACCGTAGCTGAAATCAAACGCATGCTCACATACTCCTTCTTGTTGTAGGCTTGGTGCGCATGCGCCAGCCCCTCAACAATGCCTTCGAATGCGCCGTTGACGGGGATGTTGACCTCTTTGTTTGTGAATCGTTCCGCCACAAATCTAAAAAAAATAGAGATTGTATGAGCAGTTACGGGTGTAAGAGCATTAGGACTCCGTATATACCATATTGCCTCTATTCAGCATTTTTAAAGAATAAACACCAGGATAAAGCCAGGGGGAGACATACACTTGAGTCTCCGCTCAGTGAGAGATAGCAGTTCAAGCTATATTGTGTAAGACCGATAAAATAATCGGGGGTTTACAGGCAACCGACAGGTGTAATATTGAATACTTACGATTCGGATGCTTTGGCCCCGAACTTCAACAAGCTGACCAGAATCTAGAAACAACCATGACACATGATACAGACTCAGTCTGTGCAACTGTGATAAGCCGCCCACACCACGTATCGTCTGAAGCGAATTGCTCACTCCTTAACCATTTCCTGTGTATTCTTACCTGTGTAGGTTAGGCATCCTAGGTCCTAGTGATCCAAACGAAGCAGATATTGTGTTGATCTCCACCTGCTTAATCTTTGCCAGAGCGGCATCCGGACCATCAAGCATGTAATCTGACCTGTACAAACCCATCCGAATAGGCTGTGCTACACCTTGTGCCAGGACAGCTTTGTGGATATCTAACAGCTTTGATGTGAACTCGTCCCCTTCAGCGGCTCTAGCGACACGGATTAAGATATGTATTCTTTCATGAAACGTAGGGTATGTCGCTCGAGAAGTCAATCTCTGCCATTCGCGAGGGTACAATGAGGATTACATGCGTTACGGAATATACAAATTGGTCCAATAACACCACAAAGAGATTTCGGCCTCGCCCTCAGTACGAGCACAAAGTCATATATCACACGCTCAGCTTGCAAAAGTGCCCCAAGGACCGGAATACTGGGCTACGCTCGAGAATTGCCATCACAACTGTACCAAAACACTGCACCAAAATCCTGATATACATAAAAAGCCTCTGCACAATACACACCCTTACTTTCTCAAAGTGTCGTGCAGAAACTCAGCGTCCATGGACACCTTGTGAACCAGCTTGTTAAGAAGTGGTTGTAACTTTAAAGCACGCTCGAATTCAGCCTTCGGATAAGACGAGGGGTACAGTGTGAAAGGCGCATGTGTCAGCTGATCGCCGCCTTCGCTTTCCGGCCTGTATCAGAATGTGTTACAATGTCGATGTGCTTTGTGTGAGACAGCCAGCCGAGTCGTATGCCTAAAACCTGAAGGGCCTTGCAGCCAATCTTTCAAAACGCATTGTTGAAGATATACGTATGAAATGAAATATAGCCCTCTCCCCATTTGGAAAGCTACACATTCAAACAATCTAAACCAATACGCAAACACTCAACATCGATTGAAAAAAAATGCAAATCTTCGCAGGAACAGCCGAAAT